TTTTCTCTTGACAAAAAAAAATGTCAAGAGAAATCTGGCAGGAGTCTACACTTCCTAATGTTAATATTTTGAGTGATAGCCTACACAAAGCATCTGCAACAAAATAACCTTCCCTATTTAACTGGCAAACAAGCTGGGGGTACAAAACATCCCAAAGCAACAGAATGACTTAAGCAACCACACTCCATTTATAGCAATGACTTAGGAACTTCAGAAACTACACACCACTGACATTCAGTGACTTCAGGGACAGAACTTTAAGATATTTAAGCATTCAGAGACACAGTTACCTAAGCGCTGACCCTCTTAACAATACCACAAGCAGCATATTACAACTTAGAGGGCTTCCATGTGAGGTTATGAACTCCTATCTTTACCAAGCCTCTAACTCCAGTATGAAGGTTAATAACTGAAGATGACCCTCTATTCAAATACAATCTTAAAAGGGGAACCATGATGGAGAAGTTCACCTTTTCAATGACAGCACACAACAGGGGCATCCAACTCCCAGTTGGGACTGTGACAGGAGTAATCTTACAGCAGCATTAGAAGCTTCATCCTTCAGGCAGCAGGCTGCCTGAATCAGGGGCCCAGTGAGGCAAGAAGAGAACTTGTTTCCCTGGTTGCACACTGGTAGATACCTTATCCTCTTGGGCTCTGAAAAGCACAAGTAGGACGAGAGGTCATTTGTCTTCCAGTGACTTCTAATTGCTTGAACTTACCCTGTTAATAAAGTGATGTTGCTTTCCAGATCTTTCCATAAAATCCTAACTCTTCAGTTGTCTGTCAACACTCAACTGCCATGTGCTCCATGAAAAAGCAAACTCCTCAGGAGGATTCACAAAGGAAGAACCTGAGATACTGTTTGTGTCCAAAGCCCAAACTAGCCCATGAAGCCTGGATAATTGTCAGGTTGTTTTACAGCCCCTATCTGCAAAAGCACCATCAAACTAAGAACCAAAAGCCTACAGAAACCTACCCCACACAGCTGTGGAAATAACAGCCAAAATTAACTAGGAATATTGCCATGCACTTACATAATGCCATGACATGATGTGCTTACTTGTCGGTACTGATATTTATTGAGGCGGAATAAAGTGCTATTCATGAGCTAAAAGCCAACCCAATGTTTTATTCAGAATTAAAATGCTTTTTCCAAAGAGGGTGGCTTCTCCAAAGTGGTAAGCACTGGGCCAATTCTGTTTCCTTTAATGTCAGAGGCAGCTTCCGAAAACAGTAGCCCAAACTTGAAGCATTATATTGGCTGTTCCAGGCAATTCCAGTCTGGCAAACCAGCATCGTCTTCCCAGGAGATGAATATGGCTAAGGGTAAGCAAGCAAGCTGCCACAAAAACTGGAGCTTAGGTGCAAGGGTGTCCTGGGTTCAGCAGTAGCAGTCATTTTTCCCCTTCTTGGTAGCTGGTGCAGTGCAATGTTTTGACTTTCAGCTCGGGAACAGAGCTGATAACAAGCGATGTTTTGGTTTGGCCAAGGACTTTGTGAGCCTCATGCTCTGCCAGGGAGGAGGGGGAGCCAGGAGGAAGCAGAGACAGGACACCTGACCCAAGTTAGCCAAAGAGGTATTCCATACGACAGCACGTCATGCCCAGGATGTAACTGGGAGTAGCCGGAAGGGCTGGGAGACTGCAGGGTTGGAGGAGGTATCGGTCAGAGCTTGGTCGGGCTGGGGGGGCGAGTTATCGGTCGGCTGGTGGTGAGATGATGTATTCTCTTCCCTTGTTATTTCCTGTATCATTATTATCATTGGTGGTAGCAGTAGTGATGTGTGTTATACCTTAGTTACTAAACTGTTCTTATCTCAACCCGTGGGAGTTGCATTCTTTTTGATTCTCCTCTCCGTCCCTCCGAGAGCAGGGGGAGGGCAAGAAAAGGGGGGGAAGTGAGCGAATGAGTTACCTGACTGGGTTTAAACCACGACAAAGGGTAACTAGGGATTGACAAGGCTCTCCTGGCTATCTGGAAAACTTTTTCCCGTTGTGACTAAGCTGGAGGGGAACTGGAGAAATTCTATTATGATAAACTACATTTCAGAAGCATTCTGCAGAGAGGATGGCCAGGACCTGCTGTAAAAGGTCAGTGGGAATTTTAAACACAATTCCATTATGACTAAAAAGATTTCTTATCCAGCAGCATTACAGGAACTATATATTCCTCCCAGGAATACCTTCTGTCCAAATTCAGCACAACATACCTGTTTGGTTAGACTGATAATTTAATCTACCATATGCATGTTTTTCTAACTACACTTTCACTGAGCTATAGCTGTTGTTGCACACCATCACAATTTCAATTACAATGGTACATGATAGATACAGCTGATGCTGAGTTCTAATTGTTAATGTTAAAAACAATGAGTTGCTAGTCCGTATGTCTCATTACCAGGCCATATGTCCAACCCTAGAAATTTCCAGGCGGAGCAGCTCTACAAAGATGATAACAGCCAGTCTATTGTGTTTGGGCCATTGCAACCCAACAGAAGGTCATCCCAGATTTAAAACCTTCCTCTGATGTTTCAAAATATACCTTGCAGATCACTAGAAAACCCATTCCTGGCTTTTTAGTGTCCTCTTAAGAAGTGAGAGAAATCACCAATATTAGTAAAACCAAAGCTACTGGCTAAAATCAGGGAGTCCTAAGAGAGGAGTGCACCTGGAATGAGCCCACTGAGACTTCTCTGTCAGCTATAGAAGTCATGGCAGCTGCACTTTTTTTTAACCTTGAAACTCTAAATAAAAATTGTCACAAAACAGTTTTGGAAATGTTGTTTTCCCCCTAACATAATATGGGAAAAGGCCTACTTCAATAAAGGTCTCAGATGCTAAGCATTCATTCAGATAAACTCTAATGTACTATTCAAGGAGTTCAAGTCAGTAATGGCTGCAGCTATTCAATACTGCCCTCTTGTAACCCTCTTGCACCCTCTTCCCTCCCTTCTGCAGTCTATTCTTCATCAGCATCTAATTGCCTTTATTCCCAGCTTTAAAACTTTGTAGCAGACACTGATGACATCAAGAGGCAACGCACATCAGTTACTCTTGTAACATTTACAGACATTGCGATGTCTGTAAATCTCTTTTCCCTGAATTCTCTTTCCAAAGAACCAGAGCAAATCCAGATTACATTCAACCCCTTCACACATTGTTATGCGGCCCACAGCCAATGGTCGTGGTTTCACAATACAAAGTATTTAATGCAACAACGGCCTATTAGAGCCACTGACTCCTACTCCTGTGCCCAGCACGTCATCTTCTTGGCCAGGTCTGCAAAGACTGGGGATACAGCCCTACTGTGAACATGGATCAGCGAACAGCTTTGGGTTTTTAAGAAATTGCTGCAGAGCTGAGCAAGAATAGCCAGAAATGGGCAAGTCAGATCTTAAGACAACAACCTGCCTCTTTGTAACCTCAGGAAACAAGACACATTTTTCTGCACAAGACCAGTTAGCCATTTACGAAAGTAACCAAAGAACAGAATAAAACTTTAAAAAGGCAACAGAGCATTTGGTTTTGCTTTCCAACATTTCGATAAATTGGTTTTATATCTTATATGTAACATTGTGGCAGTTTTTCAATGGAAAGAGAAATGAACACATATGTACATACTGCATATATGCCACTCCATACTGTGTTTCAGAGTACCTCACTGAAGCAATTTAATTAACATCAGCCAGAAAATAAAAATGCAACATGAAGGCAACTCAAGATCTATTTATATAATCTTTCTTCTCATTAAAAATAATGGCCCCTTCTCCACTGAAAGAAAAGCTAAAAGAACAGTTAACTCTTGTCTTCCCTGAATTTGCATGCATGTCTCCTCGTCTCTAACCCAATCATCTGCCTTCCAGATCATGGAGCATGTAAAAACAAAATCTCTACCTGGCACCAGTACTCCTCGTCCTGTTCACAGGACAGGAAAAATCTAGGAACTAGAGGTTGCCCAAAAATCTCACTTCTACCAAGCTTTCTGGTTTGAAAGAGAGTACTTTGGAAATAACAGCAGCTTTTCAGGCTTTCTTCTTTCATTTTAAAATACTTTCTGCTGTTCTGTTTCTAAGAATTCAAGAGCCAACTATTGAGAAAACAAAATTAGTCAAAGACCTTTGCAGGAGCCCCTTGTGTCTTATCTTAGTTGTCATGAGCTGTGACATTCTGTTACATTACTTACAGAAGCAAAGATAGCAACATCAAACTCCACAGCTTAAACCACAACAAACTCATATACATCATCTAGGACAGTCTCTTCTCTTTACAAAGCGCTATGAAGACTTTCAAACTCAAAGCTAAACAGGTTCAAGCTATGCTTCTTTCCTTGTCCTGATACCCCATTCTACAGTATTTTCCATCAGTAGACTGATGAGTTCCACTGGTATATTTAGGTAACTGTACAATAAGTCTGCCTGCCCATTATTTTCCCTCTCTGTACTGACTGTCCTAAAGTCTTCTGTAAAGCTTATATTCATATCTAAAGATTTGGCTGTCCTTATGATCCATCAGAGTATTAAAATGGACAGGCATTTGAACTCCAAGCCCTTTCAAGAGCAGATTTCATCAGCAGCCAGTCACTGGAGTTAAGAAAGCAGCAAGCAAACAGAAGCAGGCAAGAAGAACAGTGCAGCTGCTGCACAGGTCATATGCATAAGCCACTGCTATAATGACCACAAACCTAACCTTCTGGTTTTGATGTGGGAGTATGAGAGTTGGGACCTGGGCTTCTATCCCATGTTTTAGAGCCTGTCATCTTTCTCATTTCCAGAGACAAAATTAAAACTGAACCTTTGGATGGATCTAGGGATTTAGACATCTTCAGACTATATCTAGGAATAAAAGTAGTAATTAATTTATCTGAAATTATTTAGTTAACTAATTCCTCACCCTCCCCTGCAATTCCCCTTGAAACATTCACTGGGCAATTTGCCAACGAAAAACAAGACAATCCACAAGTTTGCTAGTCGTTCATTTACAAAAGACACAGGGCACCCATTTAATGCTGCAACCACATTTTAATCAAATATTAATCATCAGAGGACTTTGAAGGGAGGAGATAAGACCTCTTTGACAAGTCCAATCTTAAAATAACTTTTTTTGCTTTAACAGTTAACAGGTCAAACGAGAATGCAGCAGGCAAGTCATGGATTAAGTAGCACCTTCAACAAATAGGACTCAGCAACATGAAGCAAGAGTCAGAAAGCACAAGCTGAGGGGGATGGGACAGTAATCAGGACATGCATTAATTTTTAAAGTTTGCCATTGTCCAATTGTTTTGGGATAGCTGTGCATGACAGAGCAGGTCATCCACTGGAGCAGGCACCTTCAGACTAGGGCTGCAAAAGCTCAATGCCTCCTTGCAGCAGAAGTTCCATGAGGAAATGTGACTTGCTCTAATTTTGGAATCTGGAAAAAAGACAAACATCAGGAAGGAAGTTTAAAAATATTTGGGAAAAAGTCCTTTCAAAGAAAAAGGAAACTCAAACCAGATAAATGCAAATAGCAGTAAGTAAGCACCAAACTGCTGTGACATGTCTTTTTGGAAACAGCACACAAGGATTGCTCGTCCCTCTCTGGAACATTTTAGACAGGGAGGAGGAAGTCACTACTACCTTTGGATGGTTTAGCACAGTGAATTCCAGTTTACCCTATACCAGTACTGCAGACGTCCATTTGTGCCCAACACTCATTAAATTTTGCTGAAGTCTGCACAGAGCTCCATACACCCTCCCTTCAGACACTCCTATCTATACAACAACCTTTGAAAAACAAGTCTGGAATTCTCCAGACTCCACAACTGATCAAAGCTAACAGAAAGGGGATCTTCTAAGACAAAGATTCATAACAGAGGAAACTACCTTCAGGTTTCTGGAATAAAGACACAATCCCCTAATTTCACAAGAATACAGTGCCACCTAGTACAGGTGGGTTTCTGCAGGACTGTTTAAGCCAATAGGGAGTATTTCATAAAGCCTCACCCACTCCCTTGTGGAACATCAGCAGCATCACCTCAGTCAGCTCCTCTGATGCACCTGGTACATGCAGTCTCTAAGGGACTAGTTTGCCGAGTCAATCCATCATTTAACTTTTTCAGTTTTTAAATTCTTGGGCCAGAGAGAAATGAAATTAAGACTTTATTAGCTAAGTCCCCCATTGTAGGAGAGTAAATCTTCATTATGCACTAAAATGGTCTAATTTACATTACAGTGATTCTCACATGGGTGAATGGATGCATGTTTGCCTCACAATGACCCCATAGGGCAAAGGTTTCCTCCCTTTCTCACTTTGTTTTCCTCTCCTCTTCCTCTCCCCTACCCCCCTTTTTAATTTGAGCTAGTGGAAAGGGGGAGAATGGGCAGTAAGAAGGTTACCATCTCCTCGCTCCTTCATCTCTCCTTCTGCACAGCAGCAAGCCAGACTACAACAGTAAAGCCGGAGGAAAGAAAAGGAATGCCATAAAGCATTTGGAAAACACCCATTCTGAAAACACTGGTTTTCAGGGATAGATGCTGAAAGGTCAGAACCGAATGGAAAAGAATTCCAACTAGTCTTTCTAAAATGAAAGTACATTCATTCTAGGCTCTTTTCCCTCTGTGTGTATGAGATGGGAACAAGGACCAATGATATTTCACATATAAGGAGGGGAGAAAAAAAATCCATATACCAACCTTCTACTGTACTGCTGTAGCTAAACTTTAAGTAAAATTTCCCCTGTGAATATAGTCTATAAGTTTCAGACATTTTTAGTATGGGCATTTTAGGATATTCTGAATATCCTAAGCCTCCTCTAATATGCCAAAACATTCTGCTGTGATAAATTTTGAATTCATAAACTAAACAAGGCCCAGCTGAGTAAATAATGAGCACAGACAACACTGTAGGAAGTGGTTATTTACCCTAAACCAACCCTCAAACAACCTCATACCCACTTTCTTGGAATCAGCGTCATGCTGGAATTTCACATTTCAGCAATACAAGCTATGGCTCACTACAAATGCTAATTATAGAGAGCTCAGCTGCTGCTTCTTTTTTTAAAGCAGTCTAGTACCATTGTTTTCTTCCAGCCTACTGTTGTTAACTGTCACCTACGTTTTCAGCTGAGTAAAGTATCCCACACTTCCCGACCTGAGCTGCTACGCAGTATTGCTGCATGGTCTTTCGGATAATGTAGTAGTGAAGCCCATCTGCAGTCATATTCCTGCATTGCCAAAGTTCTGTGCAACCATGGTGCAGTCAGTCTGTTAATTTTCCCACTAAATCTCTGCATCTGTAAAACACTTTGGGATCCCTGACAAAGAAAGACTCTACATAAAGGTCAGATTAATGATTTTCCTCTTGAGCAAAATCATTTTAGGAAAATTTAAACAGACACACAAGTCTAGTATTCTGGAAATTCTCATAGCAGCTATTTGCTACCTAAACTCTGGTGCTTAGAGTCATGTGTGTTCACATGATCTCCTAAGCTGGGGGCTGTGTCTTGCTCTTGAACTTTTTCCTCCTGAACTTTAAGATCTGCCCAGCAACACTTTTATTGGGTACTGCTGAGTACAAGCGCATGCATGTAAAGGGAATGTGATGGCAGTTGCTTCTAAATGGTTTATAAGAGGCCCATCCTTTATTACTATTTCTTTGGGCATTGAAATAAATTCATTAAAATTTGTGGACTTTTAAAAAAAAAAAATAATCAATCAGAACCCTAAAATAAACACAACTTAGGCCACACTTTGCCTTATGTGCCAACCACAGAGTAAAGAAACCACATGCCCATTTTTCTTTTTCTCTAGATATGAAAAAAATGTATTCTAATTATCTTTACAAAGTACTGGTATGAATTTTGCTTTCCCAGGACTCACTATACGCAGCATACCTTGTACAGGCTGTAACATTTTCAAGATTTATTTAAAGGCTCAGACAGAATGGAATACGAATAACATCGTTGCAGGCTTCCTGTGAGTAGCAAACTAAGCATTAACTCTCTGGAAAGACATGAGGCTTACAAACTGAAACTCTGTCTAACACTATTGTGATGAGCATTTGGGAATATAAGCAATCATTATATGAATAACAGCCCATCAAATTCTATAGGTCAGTCAGCTTTCTATTTCTGTCCTATAACAGGAACTGTGGCATCAGCATAGGGCATTACAGGGGGATTAATGACTAGCTTGAATTAATGGCCCTGGGTTATGCCTAAGGCAATCAACTCCTCCCACCTACTCACTAATCCCAGGAGATACTCTGGTCTCTTTTGGAGCATTAACATCCAGCTTTTTTTATAAAATCCTTTCTCTGCAGGATTTTTGTGCTTAGATTATTCGGAGGACTTTACATACATATGTGAGTAAAAATACAGTGAATTAGGGAGAGCATATTGGGGTGAAAAGCAGTATTGGGGTGAAAAGCAGTATTGGGGTGAAAAGCAGTATTGGGGTGAAAAGCAGTACTGAGGTGAAAAGCAGTACTGGGGTGAAAAGCAGTACTGGGGTGAAAAGCAGTACTGGGGTGAAAAGCAGTACTGGGGTGAAAAGCCTTCAAAACTGTGTGCAATGGCAACAAATGCTTTCTGATAACAACACAAGCAGGCTTGTATTTTTGATCACATGCTCTCTGTATATTTGAAGAGAAATAACAGCTTTCTGTTTGTTAGTCCAGTGCTCCAGCTCCTTCAGAATGTCTGTGCTTCACCCCTGTTCAGCTTCCTTGTTTTGCAACACCCCACACTACTACCACTACTGTCACCACTGCTGCATAATGACACAGAATCTTTCAGAGAGGTGTTAAGTAATTTCAAAATTGGCTACAATGCATGTACAACAAAGATAATAAACATTTTAATCATCACTGTCATGAAGTTATTAGCACACTACAGACATTTATTTTTTTACAGGTGATACATAGATGTGATACATCGTATGTTACTTTAATCCCTGCCACAGTCTCTCTTCAGTTATGCTTTTTTATTGCTCACCTAAAAAACTCCCTTTGCAAGCATCCACTGACTGCCTGTTGGCTTAGACAGCGAATACATTATAGACTTTCAGCAGTTACACTTGCATGTTCTTCTCAGGTGAGTTCATCAAAACTACAGAAGACCCTCCAAATCTGGACCCTGGATATTCTCTTCCCCAGAAGAGCACTGCTCTGAAGAATAATCCATTTGACTGAGATGTAATCTGGAATGTTGCCATTCACAACAGCAGTAATTCTTAACATGACTAGCAACAAATGAAACTAAGCAAGGTCTCTCTGACTGCCGAGACAATGTAGTAACTCTCATCAGGCTTAGCTCCACACTTACATTTCATATACTCTCTACTAACATATAGCCCACCCATACAGTAATAAACTCAGTCATCAGAAACACTGTTACCACCTGGTATAAAAAAATAGGCTGTCTCGTGTGTTTAAGCTTTCAGCTTGCTTGCTTGGTTATCAACCACTCTTGGTCAAATTCTCCATCAAATGCATACAATGGCTTTCCTACTGAAGCCTACATGTCCGTGCATACATACCTAGATCAGAGAGGACAAACTTTTGATCCCTGTAGTCAAACATTGGAAATTTTCAGTATTACATTTAATTTTTTTAAGCTTGTGAAAAATCGAACCAGTGCTTGCATGTTCCTTCAAAGACACAGATCCAGTACTGGAACATGGTATTGGCTGTAACAGTTAATTGTATACGTAACAGTGCAGCAGAAGTAGTAACAGACATAAGCCAAACATGGCTTATTGCCAGCCTGTTGTTTCAGAATTGTCCACAGATTACTTTAATATTAAAGGCATAGATCTGTACTGAAGTACTTCCCCACTATAAAATGGAGCAGGCAATTTTAGCACTGCTTATCGTGGCTTAGGGAAATCATGCATTGGTGTGCAATTACCAGTTTTCCATAGCCCTTCACTGTCTGCAGGTATTTTGTTGTAGTGATGGTGATGTTACTGGGATGGTTAACTTCCTTCCCCTCAAAAACAGATAAAAGTTGAAATGACAGGTTCTGGCAAGAATTTCTGGCAGAGGAAGCAAAGTAGGAAATGCAGCTCCTGATATAAAACAGCCTACTCTGTCTCATCTGAGAGAAGGCTTGCTGCTGGGGTATTTCTCAAATCTCTTTGCTGGATGAAAATTTGCCACGGTTTAAAACATCTGAAGCCTTCCTGTTGTAAGAATTATGTGCTTTACAGATTATGACAAATCCTGACTCTAAAATATGAAAGTGTCAGTGTTTCAAACAGTTCCTTTCCTTCAGTGAGGTTACATTTACAGTACAATAAGTGGACTTGGATTACAGGGTCCTTTTTCAGACAGACAGAAAATATATATGTATATTGTATAAGCAGTGTTCAAGCACCAAATAAAAAATGATGACAGACACCTCCCTGAAGGACTTAGTCCCCTCAACAATTTTCCTTGCATTATTCCTCACACCTTTCTTTCTGCCTCCTTTCTTCCTCCCATCACTCATCATCCACCCAAGGAAAATAATGCCAGGTTATCCAATGATCTTATCACAGGAAGTTGTTACGGTAAGTAGGTAAGTTGAGAATTGGGTTTGTATGGACTTGTGAAAGTGAAATTTGGGTCTTCACTCCTGCTGGGAAGTTCAGCTGGAGCCACTGAGGAAATAAAAAACAGAGGCAGGAACACGGAGTTTTAAAAAGAGCATTAAAAAGGCAGCCTAGTGCTGTGACTGGAAACAAGGAACAAACCATCCATACTGCTCCCCCAGCTCAAACTGGAAAGCTAACTGCGACTTGGTCCAAGTGCAATATGAGAAGGCACACTACACTTGTCCCACAGCCTTGATCTCTGTCACCGATGCTAAAGGTGAATTCTACATTTTATTGTGCACTCTACCTTTCAGTGATTGCTCTCTCCATCTTTCAGTTGTTTAGATTTTCAGTACATAAAAATCCTGGCATTGCCATTATGGGCTCTGAGCCATCTGAGCAATCTTCTTAAAATACACTAACATATCATCCATATGGTTATCCAATATGTAACTATTTACTTTCCAGGATAATAACAGGGAGGTAACGAAAACTGTTAAAAGCTTCACAAAACTTCATGAGGCATTGTCACCCTAACTAGGAGTCTATGATTTTCACTGAAAAGAGTTACAGACATCAGTTTGCATGATTCCCTTTTGGAACATATTTTCATTGTAAGTCTCCCTTAAACAAGACTGAAAGATCAGACAAGTGGTTGTCCTTAGGAACTACCCGTTTGAGATCATTGTTGTTTGTGCCCCAGCAGAGTCTGATACCCTGCAGTTCACTATGTTCTGGAAGAAACCCACTTCAGAAACAGCATTTAGAAAAGCTGGGAAGGCTATCTGAAAGCCAGAAGGAGAGATACCAAGGAAATCCATTTCCAGGTATGATCTTCCATAATAGCTTATAGATGTTAAATGGTTCCAAGTTGTTAAATCTGGTTCCAATATTTGGTTAGAGGACCCAATTGAGGTACAAAATAGTTTGTTCTTCTTGTAAGCTGTAATTGGTAGTATTTCTTTTATAGTCAACTTGCATGTAAAATTCTCTTGCCCTTTCCATGCTATGAAAGTACATGAGTTGACATGTGGGTTGCTTTATAAACTGCAGCTTGCGAGTTAACATTTTATGCCTGAAGGTGGTTGTGCTATGGAGTATTGGATTAGTGATTATTGAACTTGTAGAAGAAATCTCTTACATAAGTTCATCTTTCCAAGAAAGCTCTTAGGCCTGCATGCATAAAGCAACATAAGAGCTTTTCTTGCATACTTCAAAGAGCTCTTGGGCCTCTTGGGATAGTTGTGAAATGGTGTCTCCTTTTATCAGAATCAACTAGCACCCAGAAAGAACAAGAAGTAGGAAGAAGGAAAGCCATGTCACTCCTTGTCCTGGCCAGCAGAACCTGTAGGCTTCAGGATGGGAACACAACATACTCGTTGCAGCAATACAGCAGTACCATAGAACTTGAAGGGCCTTTCCTCTGTGAAATGGTGTTTCCTTTTGTGATCAACACAGAGATAGCAGAGGCCAGACCTCCAACTTCAAGTGGAAGTTGTGCTGTTTTATAGACAGAGAACTAGAAAACATGATATTTAATCAAAACAGTTTGAATCCCTATGAGTATATCCTGGCAATTTTCTCAGAACAGCCTTTTTGCACCTGTGAGATACTATCACGGGGATTATGCTGCTTTAAGGTTTCAGGCCATGCCTTGGTAACCTTGATTAATAGGAGCCATTAAACTCAATGGGAGCAA